CGTCCCTACGGCCGTTGAGTCTACTCAAAACATTCCTTCTCCTCCACTCTCCCTGCTCCCCGCCCCCCACTCTCAGCTGCATCTGGACCTGCTATACCGCCCTGTGGATGAGAACGGGGTGCTGCTCGCCCCTTGGTCCATTGAGCCGACTCAAAGTCCCAATCTCCTCCACTCTCCCCCTTCCCTTCCCCCCCCCTTCCCACTCTCAGCTGCATCTGGAGCTGCTGTACCGCCCTGTGGACGAGAACGGGGTGCTGCTCGCCCCGGCCTATTTCACCCCGCCAGCGCCCAAGACGCTCCAGGAAGCAACAGCAGCAGCCAACGCAGCAGAGGCACGGAAAACGCGGCAGGCAGGCGTGGGGTTCCTCAGCCCAATCAAGGCGCAGCAGCAGGAGGAGGGCGAGGGGGGGGGTGACGTGCCGGCGATGGCTCTGGGTGGGGATCTAGGGGGGGTGGGGGTGGAGGACGGGGAGACCAAGTACATGAGGGGCGTGCTGCAGGTGGCACTGCTGTCAGGGCGTGAGCTCGTGGCGTGTGACATGAATGGGCTCAGTGACCCGTTTGCCGTGCTCGAGGTAAGCATGCTGCTGCTGTGTTCAGATGTTTTTGAATCAACTCAATAAGAGCTCATGGCATGCGATATGAATGGGCTCAGTGACCCGTTTGCCGTGCTCGAGGTAAGCATGCTGCTGCTGTGTTCAGATGTTTTTGAATCAACTCAATAAGAGCTCATGGCATGCGATATGAATGGGCTCAGTGACCCGTTTGCCGTGCTCGAGGTAAGCATGCTGCTGCTGTGTTCAGATGTTTTTGAATCAACTCAATAAGAGCTCATGGCATGCGATATGAATGGGCTCAGTGACCCGTTTGCCGTGCTCGAGGTAAGCATGCTGCTGCTGTGTTCAGATGTTTTTGAATCAACTCAATAAGAGCTCATGGCATGCGATATGAATGGGCTCAGTGACCCGTTTGCCGTGCTCGAGGTAAGCATGCTGCTGCTGTGTTCAGATGTTTTTGAATCAACTCAATAAGAGCTCATGGCATGCGATATGAATGGGCTCAGTGACCCGTTTGCCGTGCTCGAGGTACGCACGCTGCAGCTGTGCCCTCAGAGGTTATCTCAGGCTGCTGCTGTGTTTTTGGTCACCCATCGCTCACGATTTCAGTCTCCCATCCTGTGGGCATCGCCTTGCCGTGTGGGGTGAAGAAGGCGCTCACATCACGCTGCTCACTACTTTCTCGTATGATCCATGCTCTCACACCGCACCTGCAGCTGCGGCTGGGAGGGCAGAGGAGGAAGTTGCAGGTGGTGAAGAATACATTAAAGTCACGTCCCTCACTACCTTCTCACATGATTTCCGCTCTCTCGTTCCCACCTCTCTCAACCGCTCTGCCTACCTGCAGCTGCAGCTGGGAGGGCAGAGGAGGAAGTCACGGGTGGTGAAGAAGACGCTGGAGCCGGAGTGGAATGAGAACTTTGAGTTCCTGGTGGAGGACGGCAAGCATGACATGCTCGTTGTGGCGCTGTTTGACCACGACCTGCTGGGCAAGAAGGTGAGAGTCTCCTTGTAGAGTGTTGTTGGCTCGCGGTCGTAACATCCGGAAGGGTCTGGTGTTAGGTCTCTGAGCTGAGACACCTTGCAACGACCAGCTTTGAATTCCTGGTGGAGGACGGCAAGCACGACATGCTCGTGGTTGCCCTGTTTGACCACGACCTGCTGGGCAAGAAGGTGAGATCTCCTCGTAACTCGCTGTTACTTGGTGCGTCAAAGGGTGTGCTCTGAGGCACCGTGCAGCGACTGGGGGAGGATGGCAAGCACGCCATGCTGCTGGTGGTGGGGCTGTTCGACCGCGACCTGCTGGGCAAAGAGGTCAGTGAGAGTTCCCTTGTAGCGCGTTGTTGGCTAGCGGCCGTACATCGAACGTGTGGTCTGCGGCACCTTTCACTTTCTTGCCAGCTGTGAGTTCCCTGGTGGAGGACGGCAAACACGCCATGCTGGTGGTGGGGCTGTTCGACCGCGACCTGCTCGGCAAGAAGGTGGGCTTCCCTTGTATTGTAACGCGTTGCTGGTGAGTAAGGGGTGTGATTAAGTAAGGTGTGAGGATCTGTCACGGCCCTGGTGGAGGACGGCAAGCATGGCATGCGCGCGGTATGGCTGTACGACCGCGACCTGCTGGGGAAGAAGGTAGCAGTCGCCTGCAATGACCTGCAGTTTGTATGCATGGAAGGTATGGAGTAGTCATGCATTTGGCATGGCTGGCAAGATAGTCAGTGTGTGGGGGCTGGTCGTGATGCATAGATTGCTGAGCTGAGATGTGGACTGTCTTGTCTGCTTATGGTATGCTTTGAAGGGGCTACTGGGTAGAGTAGACGTACCCACTGGTTGCTGACAAAAATCCCCAGTAACACTTGCTTTGTTTTTCCATAATACATTACTTGTTGTCCCATGTTTGCAGGATAACATGGGTCGGTTGGGAGTGAGTTTGACGAGAGTAATGATGGAAGGGCATCTTGAAAACGAGTTCCAACTAATGGATGTGCCTCATGGATGGTTAAAGCTGAAGCTAACATGGAAGCCTGTACCATAGACTGTAAGGGAACTCAGATCAACGACTAATAAGGAGTTGTATTGTAAGAAATAATAACTTAGTGGTCTCAAATTTACGTATAGGGGCTTAGTGTCTACTATATAGGGTACTGTAGGGTACTATAGTAGCTTGTGCCCGGATTTAAGTTCATTGCATTTAGAATTACCCATGACTTCCTGTGGGTAATGGATTGTACCATGATTTCCAGTCGGATGCACCGTGTCGCGGTATTTCCAACAATTGACCTGTCCAAATTCGACCGCCCTCGCAAGTCACCCGTGCCTTGAGCGATTTGTGCGTGCGATGACACCCTGGTGTTACACGCCTGCAAATAACTTCTTTGCGATAGGACGAAGAAATTTTGCGACGACTGGAATCCAGCCAATTTGAAAGGCATCTTTTCGGGCTTGCTGCGCTGGCGCGCTTTGGTGACCCGGTTGCTGCACGGTTACGAGTCGCTTCCAGAAATCTCTTCCCAATTGTGAGTCGCAGACTCCTCGTCATATCAGATGCCAGCCGCTGCGATGCTCAGTTCGTTGTCGCTTCCATCATCTGACCATCCATCGACCTCGCAAATTCGTAATTCTATCAACAATCCGTCGCAAAGTTCGTCGGTAGATTTTCGTACTGAAGTGCTGTGCATGAAAAGGTCCTCAGATCGTTATCACGGTTCAGTCAGACGTATAGATTTTGGTAGAAGTTGCTCCATAACTCGGTAGTCGTGTCCGCTGCTACGTGTTTTAGTGTTGAAGGACCGGAGTGATCAGCCCATGTTTCACGAATTTAATCCTCTAACGCAATCTGATAAAGGATCCGCGACGCCACCAGATAACGAGCAGTGGAAACAGTGGTGGGTGGATTGAATACAGATATTGAAGTGTGTGCTGACATGGCGTATCAAGGACCTCCTGTCACAGCACCGCCCAATCAAGGTGTGACGCGTGTTGCATCTGCAGCAGCACTTTATCGCTTGGTTCAAATGCTGTGGTTGTTTTCTATCCAGAAGCAGCCCTTACTAGGCTGAAAAACACTCCTCTGGACGCTACTAATCCTTTGCGCACGCATCTGCAGGCTATCATTTCTGTCGCGACGGCCATCCGTCTCCGCCTGACTGCGCGTCGCCCACGGAAGCCTTCACGAACCCCCTCAGCCTCAGCCGCAGCAGTAGCAACGGCAGCGGCAGCGGCGCGGGGCACTACTACCACTACCAGTGCGACTCGCCGCCGCCGTGCAGCGGCGTGATCGTGACGAACAAGGACGCCAGCGTCTACGACAAGGAAGCACAGATACGCGTCAAGCAATATTTTTCATGGCTGACGCGTATCTGTGCTTCCTTGTCGCTGCAGAGTATCGCTGCTCTGCTGCTGCTGGGTACTAGACGGCTTTGTCTGACCGTCATTCGTCTCAATTTCCGTCGCCTGACCGCCTTTCGTGTTAGCTAAACTATCATCCTTCAGTCGCGCAACGGAAACATTTCTGGTCCGCGACTTGTGGACTCCCAAGAGACAGCAGCCTCGGATGCTATCTGCGTCCCTTTCTTGCGGGTCACCAATTGGATCTTGAATAAACAACATGATGCTCGGGTATAGTCATGTGTGATTGCCTTTTTTGTACCATAAGCTAGTGTCATCACAGTTTTCAAAAATCAGGAACAAAAGCCATATGCAACAGCATCATAATCATCAACACGCGCTCTATACCCAACCCAAACGTCAAAATTGCCCTAGGACCCCTCTTTAGCAACTACCAATAACATCACTATCTTCCACCCTTGTGACACCATAACCCAGGCAGGCAGGAACACACCACTTGCCACTACTGGTTCTCCTATTCCTGAACATACATCCCCTGCAGCAGCATTTCATGCACGGGCATAGTAAGCCATCCTGTCAGCGCACTGGCAATTCTTCTCCAACCCACACCAGCTTCCTCAGAGCTTTCTCCATCCAACCTCAACCGACCTCCCAGCGCCTTGTCTCTCTGCTCGCTCCATGTGTCCTTTCCTTCCCAAGTATCACCTGCCAGTGCAACCCATGCATGCCGCCAGCAGCATTGCTGCATGGGGGAACGATCCTGTTGTCAACACCTGTTGGTCACCCCTCCGCAGAGGGAGCTCCCTCTCTCCCTCTCCATCTCTCGCTCTCTCCCTCTCCATCTCTCGCTCTCTCGCTCTCCCTCCCCCATCCGCCTCCATCCCATGCAGTATTGCGTCGCTCTGCTCCCCAACTAGTGAAGCGTGGGTGGCATGGCTCATCTGCCTCATGCCAATGTCGAGGCGACTCGAGATGTGTCCCCATCATGCCATGCTGCAGAGCCGCGTCGTGGATCCACGCAGTACCATGTGCTGCGCTCATCCAGTCCCTTCCAATGTCTCCGCGTGCACCCATGCACCCATGCACAACCCCCCTCTCTTACTGGCCCCGCAGCAGCAGCGCCTCCTCCCCCGCCACCACCTGCTGGAGCATCTCATCCCTCTGCTCCTCGCTGGCGAAGTGGAACCGCCGCCCGTGGCCTGGGGGACACACGCACGGGCGAGAGGCACCACGGCCAGGGGGGGGAGGGAAGGGGGCGGTGGGAATGGGTGATTAGGAGTGAGTGCGCGCAGGGGGGCGAGGAGGGACCAGAGGTGATACGGGCAGGGAGGCGAATGGGTGGGCGGCGGGGAGAGGGGAATTGAGATTGAAGCCAGAGTGCGAGCAGGGCAGGGAGACAAAAAGTGACAGTCTTTCGCTCATCTCAAGGCCGCACGCTCTACTGCACAAACTGATGTTGACCCCCCCCACCTGGCAGCACCGCGCCTCACCTGGCAGCACCCAGCGGAATGGCAGCCCCACCAGCTTCTTGGCGCTCTGAACCTGCACCGGCACTGCTCCGATGGTGGCGCGTGTGGCATGGGAGAGAAGGCAAGGGCCAGAGGACAGGGGGCAGGGGGGCAGGGGAAAGGGGGGCAGGGGAAACGGGGCAGGGCAAAGGGAATATGAGAATTGAGGCGACTGCATATTGCGTACAAGGGACAAGGGACAAGGGAATTGGAACAAGAGACAATAGAGAGCAAGGCAAGGCGCACAAACACAGAGAGAGGAGGCAGCAACTGGTAGTGGCAGGGAAGCGGAGTGACAGAAATTTATCCAAAGCGCTTTCACTGGAGTCTTTCTTTGCTATCACAGAATTGAGACGGCTGTGAATTTTGCTTGACTTGGGTTGACTCACCCGAGTACCAGTTGACCCGTCTAAATATGGTAAGGCTTTCCGTATTTGGAGCGTACGCCAGATGGTCCCCTGAAAAGAGCGCCCCTCCGTGCGCCTTATACAGCACACTCACGGAGCCCTGCGCACACAGAACAACGCGCACAGAGCGAAAAAAGAGTGGTGAAACGAGGATGGTGGTTTTGGGATAGTTTTGAGCGTGAATACGCCCGTGAGAATAGTCCGACCCCAGGCACCAGGGCTGTTCCGCACCTACGCTGCAACTGCACCCGCACTTCAACTGCGCAGCTTCCGCCACCACTCGACCTAAATTCCTGCCGCATTGATCCGAACTCACATCCAAGTGGCCAGGGTTGAAGATGATTCTGAGGTCCGACCCCAAGCACCACGCTTCAACCGCGCATTACCCAGTCGCACAAGAGCGCTCACCTCGGTGTGACCAGGAGTAAAGATAATTTTCAAGTCCGACCCCAGGCACCAGGGCCCCGTGCCGTCGAGAAGCATCTCCACGTCGGTCGTGTCGGGCTGCACCTCGAGCGCGTGGAGGACACGCTCCGCCTTGAACCGCGCCGCCCACCGCGCGTGGTCCGCCACGTCGTCGCGGTGCGTGAGCACGATGTAGCGCACGCCGCCCATGCGCGCGAGTGTCTCCGCCAGGTGCTCCGAGTAGCGCGGGCAGTCCACCATCACGTTGCCCGCCGCGCGCTGGATGAAGTAGGAGGCGGCGCCGAAGGACTTGCGCGAGTGGTAACCGCAGTGGAACACGCCGGGCAGCGCGGAGGCATCGATGGGCAGCGGGAACGCGTCGCGCGCCCGCGGCACGAGCGATAGCGAGTCGCGCGAGTGGATGGAGGCCGTCGGGCACGATAGCAGCGCCTGCGGGGGGGGAAACGGGGGAGAAAGCGGAGAGGGAAAGGGACGAGGGAGGAATAGGTGACGACATGGCATGGGGCATGGCATGTGTCACGAGCCGAGGCCGTTCGGCAATTTTGACACCAGAATTCCGTGATATGTTCCCCATGCTTTCATCGTTCATTATTCATCCTTCGCCGATCAACGCTCGTCGTTCGTTCGTCCTGCTCGCTAGAACCCTTCCGCGTACCTGGAGCGCCTTGACGGCAGTGGCCTCGTCGCCGGGCTGTGCGAACACGGCGGACTGCGACCCGACCTTGGCGAACACTTCGGGCGCCATCCAATCTTTGAGTCGACTCAAGAATCCTTCCGCGTACCTGCAGCGCCTTCAATGCAGTGGCCTCGTCGCCGGGCTGTGCGAACACGGCGGACTGCGATCCGACCTTGGCGAACACTTCGGGCGCCATCCAATCTTTGAGTCGACTCAAGAATCCTTCCGCGTACCTGCAGCGCCTTCAATGCAGTGGCCTCGTCGCCGGGCTGTGCGAACACGGCGGACTGCGATCCGACCTTGGCGAACACTTCGGGCGCCATCCACCGGCACACGTCGCAGTTGATGCACGTGTGGTCCACGTAAAAGTCGCCCGCCACGTTCTCGCCACGTGGCGCCTTCGCGCCGCCCACCCGCTCCCCCACTTGCTGCGCCTGCGCCTCGACCTTGAAACCCGTGATTCGCAGAGCCGCTGACGTGGAAGGGATTGCCAAAGCGGATTGTGACCAGCCGGCGCTGTCACTCCAGCTGACGGCGCCGCCCCGCCGTGCCGTCAGCGGCGGCGCCACTCGCAAGCCGCCAGCGGTGCAGCAAGCCGCGAAAGCTGCAGCCATTTCCACGCGCGCGCCGCGTGTATGAATGAGGAATCAACAGTTTTTACAAAACTCTGAGGCGCCTAAGACTTTGTCAGATTATGGAACTAGTAAATGCTGCAGCGGTCACAATTTAGAATGTAGCCACCCTCTAGAGGTGGTATATGTATACGCGCTGTGCATAGGAACGAGGCGAGTCTAATATTGTGCGATCCACAATACGTTGCGAACGATCAGTCAGAAGGGCAAGTCTTCACTTGCTGCGCTGACTCGTACACCTCTATTGCTTACGAAGCTGGAGCAAGATGAGCAAAGATCCGAGCTAGTCGAAAATATTTGGACGTACAGCAGCGGCAATCAAACTTGTGTGAGTGAGCTTCTGTGCTCCATTCCCCCTGATTTCCCGAGTCTCCCGAATTCCGTGGAGTTTGCTCCCTCCCTTGCGCGCTTTGGTTTCGGTTCGGTCGGTCAGGTCAGTTCCTGGTTGAGCGGATTGCTTCCCTGGCACCTTGTCAGAGCTGCATATGCACGTCATATGTAGCCGCAATATTGCCTCTCTGGCCAAGTTCCAGCTCATAATAGATGAGAATGCGCTGGTTCAAGGGTTGGTGCAATCTAGAAAATATCACCCAGCCATTCGCGACGAGGTCGCTGGCTCGCACGGCGCAACATGACGCGCTCGCGAGGGAACGGGTTTCGTGCGCTGTCGGTATGTCAGCGAAATTTGCACGTGCGACAAGATGGATGGTTTGGTCGAGCCGAGACGGTTCAGGATACAGCAGATACATGTTCTCGCAAAAAATCCATTCCATTACGGTAACTCATACTAAAATGTACAAATAAATACAGTGCATTTCAAAAACCAAGTATGTAGAGTCAGAGGGTGTTAGCTCGGTTGTCAGTTGAGGCATCCGAAGTGTGAGAGCTCCAAATGGTGCAGCCTCACACAGGTCAGCACAGGCTCCGGCAATTCCTCGGGTAAATTACCCTGGTGGGTCAAGCAAGAAAGGCATTGCAACTCACATTCAATTGAAGCAAACAAATGAGGATGGGTGGGCACATTCATTCTCCTCGCCCATTTAGTCACCTATGCGAAGTTTGCAGGATGGAATGTTAGCCGAGCTCACGGAAAGGAGGAAATCCACACCTCATGCTGAATATACTACATCACTCACAGCGACTCACACGAAATAAGACAAACGGTGAGAAGAGAAGACTCGCCTGCAGCACGAGCGCAAGGTCGAGGATGGCGTCGGGCAGGTGGGGGCGCAGGGAGAGCAGCGCCCTCTGGTGCGCGGGGGGGAAGGCGTGCGCGTCTATGTCCAGCTCCATGTAGGGCTGGGCGGATGACTGGGGAGGGGAGGAGAAGGTGGGGAGGGGTGGTGGGGATAGTGGCGGTAAGGAAATAGCAGGTGATCAAGAGGTGTGTGCGTTTATGTCCAGCTCCAGATAGGGCTGGGCGGATGACTGGGAGGGAGGGGGGAGAGCATGGAGGGAGAGAAGGGGGGGTGGGGAGAGGAATGGTAAGGAAGCATGTGATAAGGAGGGGCAGGAAGGCGTGCGCATCTATGTCTGGCTGCATGTTGGACTGGGCGGACGACTGGGAAGAGAAGGTGGGAAGAGAAGGTGGAAAGAAAGGGCAGGTGGGAGGGAAGGTAGGGAGGAAGGGGGGAAAAAAGGGGGAAGGGGGATTGGTGTGATAGGGAGGGGCAGGAGGGTGTGCGCGTCTATGTCCAGCTGAGTGCTGGGCGGACGACTGGGAGGAGGGGGGTGGTGGTGGGGGTCAAGGAGCGGGAAGGGAGGAAAGGTGTGCACGTCTATGTTCAGTTTCAGGTAAGCCTAGGCTACGCGAAATCGGCAAATGGAAGTAAGCAATGAACGAATGTAAATAGATGGCATACACTCCTCTGCAATCCAGTGCTTTGCTTGTGCAGGAGGACTGGGGGAAGGGGGGAAGAGCAGAGGGGGGAAAAGAGAGTGAGAGCAATGGAAAGGAAAGGAACTGATGTGATAGGAGGGGCGGGAAGGCATGCATGTCTGTACAGTCCCAGGTAGGGCTGGGCGGACGACTGGGGGAAGGGGGGGAGAAGGCCGGTGAGAAGGAGGTTCGCATGTGATAAGAAGCACACAGCAGCACACATCAGCACGCACCTGAAGAACGGTGTGGTAAGGGCGAGTGAGCACAGCCTTGCCAGAGCACCCCTCCACCAGCTTCTTAGCTGCCGCACTCAGCGCCACCTCCCCTTCATTCACCAGCCTCACCATCAGCTTCGGCCGGTCCCAAACCACCTTCTCCACCCCGCCCTCCCTTTCCCCATCTTCTCCCCCGGACCTTGACCACCGTTCCGACTTCCCCCCGTGCTCCCTCCTAACATGCTCCTTTCCCCCATGCTCCTTTCCCCGGTGCCCCTGCACAGCCACCTCCCCTCCCACAGTAGTATCATCAGCAGATGAGTAGCTGGACCAGCTGCCCCTGCGCCTGCCACTGTTGCTGCGCCGCGTCTTGCTGCTGCTGCTATTGCCTTCAACATGTGGGACTGAACGCTCCGCCTCTCGCCCTGCTGCCCCTTCCCCTGCTGCCTCCCCACCCTCGGCTGCCCTGCCTGCTGCCCCGTGCGGCTGCTCTGTGCGCTTCACCGGCTCCTCAGTCGCTGCACGAGGGACGTGAGGGGAACCCTTCTCCGCCCTGTTCCCTCCCTCTTCGCCCTTCCCCTCCACTGCCGCTCCTCCTTGCGCCCGCTGGGCGTGCCTTGGACCCCACGTATGCAACAGCGGCTGCAGATATGCAGGCAGCACAGGGGTGAATGGACGGGCAGCAGCACGGGGGGTAACGGACGGGCAGCAGCACAGGGGGGAACGGACGGGCAGCAGGAGATGAGAGATGGTGAGGAGAAGGGGAGTGGGCACGGAGGCTGGGATGGTAGGAGCACGCATGCATGCATGCATGAATGCAGGAGCTGGGCCACCCCTATAAAATAACCTCATATTCTATACCCCATACCCACATTGCCTCTCTCTATCTCTCTCTGCTCAACCCCATGTGCACGGGAGCCTCTGCCTGGCTGCGCCAGTGCACCCCCAAGCGACAGTACAGCACCACACTCAGCCCCGGGCAGTCCCACACACATGCCCATAGCCCCACACCCCCATAACCACAAGCCCACGTACCACCATCTGTGCGGGAGCGCTTGCCTGGGAGCGCCAATGCGCACCCAGGCGGCAGTACAGCACCACACTCAGGCCCGGCCCGTCCCACATGTGTCCATGCCCCCATGCTGCCCACCCCTACCACGCTCACCCGCATGTGCACGGGAGCCTCTGCCTGGCTGCGCCAGTGCGCCCCCACGCGGCAGTACAGCACCACACTCAGGCCCAGCCCGGCCCGTCGCACACACGAACCCCATAGCCGCACACCCCCATAACCACAGGTCCACGTACCCCCATCTGTGCAGGAGCGCTTGCCTGGCTGCGCCAGTGCGCCCCCAGGCGGCAGTACAGCACCACACTCAGGCCCGGCCCATCCCACGCCCGCTGCTGCAGCGACAGCAGCGGCGGCGGTGGCTGCAGGGGCAGCTGGAGGGTGGGCAGGGGAGGCAGAGGGGGGTGGCAGAGGGGGGGACAGAGGGGGGTGGCAGAGGAGGGGACAGAGGGGCTGGACGGACGGACGAGAAGCCAGTAAGAAGGAGAAAGGAACCACAGGTTCTGGGAGCATACGCTCACGCTCACAGGTGCTCCACATGGGTAAACACGGGTAGTTGGAATGGCAAATCACACTGACAACACAGCGTTGCAAGCTCATGCACTTATGACCACCCACCCCACTTCCTGTCCCTACGCAGCCCCCTCTGGCCCCTCTCCCTCCATCCAACACCTGCCCTTTCCCTCTAGACACACATGAGTCCTGACCTGGATATTGACGATTAGCACGGGTGGCAGCCCGTTGCTGCTCTGCGCTGCCGGCTCGCTGCCAGGTGGCGGTACGAGAGCGGCTGGGAGGTCCACGTGGGCGGCGATGTGGCGGATCTTCCTGGACGTGTGGAATACGTCTGCTGCCCAGGGCTCGTAGAGAGGGGGGGCAGCAGGGGCGACCTTGGCTCCATCACTGCATGGATAAAGAGGGAAACACAGTTGGGGTTTGGGAAGGGAGGAGAGGGGACGTGTGGAAGGCGAATGCTGCCCAGGGCTCGTAGAGGGGGGGTGCGGCAGGGGGGACCTTAGCCCCATCGCTGCATGGATAGACAGGGGGGGTTCGGGGAGGGAGGACGGGGGACGTGTGAAAGACGTCTGCCGCCCAGGGTTCGTAGAGAGTGGGCGCGGCAGGGGCAACCTTGGCCCCGTCACTGCATGCGTGAGGAAGGGAACACAGTCAGGGGAACACAGCCAGGGGAACACAGCCAGGGGAACACAGTCAGGGGAACACAGCCAGGGGAACACAGTCAGGGGAACACAGTCAGGGGAACACAGTCAGGGGAACACAGCCAGGGAAACACAGTCAGGGGAACACAGCCAGGGGAACACAGTCAGGGGAACACAGCCAGGGGAACACAGTCAGGGGAACACAGCCAGGGGAACACAGTCAGGGGAACACAGCCAGGGGAACACAGTCAGGGGAACACAGCCAGGGGAACACAGCCAGGGGAACACAGTCAGGGGAACACAGCCAGGGGAACACAGTCAGGGGAACACAGCCAGGGGAACACAGCCAGGGGAACACAGTCAGGGGAACACAGTCAGGGGAACACAGCCAGGGGAACACAGTCAGGGGAACACAGCCAGGGGAACACAGTCAGGGGAACACAGCCAGGGGAACACAGTCAGGGGAACACAGCCAGGGGAACACAGTCAGGGGAACACAGCCAGGGGAACACAGTCAGGGGAACACAGCCAGGGGAACACAGCAGGGGAACACAGTCAGGGGAACACAGCCAGGGGAACACAGTCAGGGGAACACAGCAGGGAACACAGCAGGGGAACACAGCAGGGACACAGCAGGGGAACACAGTCAGGGGAACACAGTCAGGGGAACACAGCCAGGGGAACACAGTCAGGGGAACACAGCCAGGGGAACACAGTCAGGGGAACACAGCCAGGGGAACACAGTCAGGGGAACACAGCCAGGGGAACACAGTCAGGGGAACACAGCCAGGGGAACACAGCCAGGGGAACACAGTCAGGGGAACACAGTCAGGGGAACACAGCCAGGGGAACACAGTCAGGGGAACACAGCCAGGGGAACACAGTCAGGGGAACACAGCCAGGGGAACACAGTCAGGGGAACACAGCCAGGGGAACACAGCCAGGGGAACACAGTCAGGGGAACACAGCCAGGGGAACACAGCCAGGGGAACACAGTCAGGGGAACACAGCCAGGGGAACACAGTCAGGGGAACACAGTCAGGGGAACACAGCCAGGGGAACACAGTCAGGGGAACACAGCCAGGGGAACACAGTCAGGGGAACACAGCCAGGGGAACACAGCCAGGGGAACACAGTCAGGGGAACACAGCCAGGGGAACACAGTCAGGGGAACACAGCCAGGGGAACACAGCCAGGGGAACACAGTCAGGGGAACACAGCCAGGGGAACACAGTCAGGGGAACACAACACAGCAGAAAGGGTGACGGGCAGATGTGCAGAGGCAAGGCGAACGGAGTGACGGTTCATGGGAGGGAGAGCGGGTGGGTGGGTGCACGTGTGAACGTGTGGAAGACGCCTGCACGCTCACACTCGTCCTCTCCTCACCTGGCGTAGCTGGGACCTTGCACGAGCAGCAAGGAGGGGTCAGCAGGCGACCAGCAGTTGGTGGCAGCGCGGGCGGAGGGGGAGCAGCGAAACAGCTGCGAGCCCGCCCGTGGCCACATCAGCAAACGCTTCACGGCTGGAGTGGGGGTTGGAGAGGGGGGAAGGGGGAGAGGGGTCGGAGGGAGGAAAAGGGAGGGTAGAAGGAGTCGAGTAGGACGAGCTGAGAGCCTGCCGAGGGCAGCGGTTACATCAGCAGACGGGGAAACCAGGAAACCTGGAAACCGGGAAACCGGGAAACCGGGCAATTGGGAAACCGGGCAACCCGGCAACCGGGCAACCGGGCAACCGGGAAACCGGGAAACCGCGCAACCGGGCAACCGGGCAACCGGGAAACCGGGAAACCGGGAAACCGGGAAACCGGGCAACCGGGCAACCGGGCAACCGGGAAACCGGGCAACCGGGCAACCGGGCAACCGGGCAACCGGGCAACCGGGCAACCGGGCAACCGGGCAACCGGGCAACCGGGAAACCGGGAAACCGGGAAACCGGGCAACCGGGAAACCGGGAAACCGGGAAACCGGGAAACCGGGCAACCAGGAAACCGGGAAACCGGGAAACCGGGCAACCGGGCAACCGGGAAACCGGGCAACAGGGCAACCGGGCAACCGGGAAACCGGGCAACCGGGAAACCGGGAAACCGGGCAACCGGGCAACCGGGCAACCGGGCAACCGGGAAACCGGGCAACCGGGCAACTGGGCAACCGGGCAACCGGGCAACCGGGAAACCGGGAAACCGGGAAGCAATAGAGATGGGGTGTCGTGTGCTGGTCTCATCGCTGCAGCTAAATCTCTCAGTCTGTGAGCTATCCTTCTCCTGTCCCTCCCCTCCTGTCTTTCTCCTTCCCCACAGCATGGGTCTGCTCTCAGCATGGGCTGAGAGCAGGCTATGGAAAGAGCTTGACTCACACTCGCTGGGGTTGAGAGCAGAGGAGGTGCGGAAGAGGCGAGACAGCAGCGCGCCACCGCTGCCAGACGCACCCGACGTGCGCTCCAGGAGAGACCCTCCACCCCCTGCCCCTGCTGCACCAGGCCGGTCCATGCCCATGCCCCCACTGCCAGCAGCTGCACCAGCAGCTGCAGGGGCGTCAAGAGGAGGGAGCCTCATGCTGCCACTGGACCGACCACGGTCCACTGTGGAGGGAGCTTCTGCATCTGTGCCCGCCATGGCTGGTGGTGGGGTGGGGAGTGGGGAGGGGCGGGGGGGAGTGGGGAGGGGCAGGGGGGTGTGCGGACGGGATGGCTTTTGAGTCGACTGAAAACACGGGAGCGTCGAGGGGAGGGAGCCTCATGCTGCCACTGGAACGACCGCGATCCGCTGTGGAGAGAGCTTCAGTTCAGCATCCGTGCCCGCCATGGCTGGTGTGGTGGGAAGCGGGGATGGAGGAGTGTGGTGTGGACGGTGCATGGGATGACTTTAGAGTCGACTCAGAATTCAAAGGGTAGTGCGGACAGGGGTAGTACTACAACTGTTTTCTCCTTTGCTAAACCTTCTCCATTAACTGCTGCTCGCTGGAATGTCTTTTAATCAAAGGGTAGTGCGGACAGGGGTAGTGCGGAGAGAGCTTCGGCGTCCGTGCCAGCCATGGCTGGTGTGGTGGGGTGCAGGGAGGGGCAGGCATTGGGGGGGTGTGGGGTGTGGTGGACGACATGACTATTGAGTCGACAGAAACTCTTGAGATGTCTTGAAAGCCAAGGGGGGTGTGGAGGAATTAATGTTGAGTCGACTCAATACTCATCATGTGTGTCGATATGTGGGGAGAGCTTTGACGTCCGTGCCCACTGGTGTGGTGGGGCGAAGGGGAGGGGCAGCCGGGGGGAGTGTGATGTGGACGCTAAGACTTCTAAGTAGACTCAAAATACGGTGGCGCAGACGTCTGGGAGTAACAACGACAAAGAACGGAGGATGGGAATGGGAAAGATCGAGAGGAAGAGAGGGAGGGGGTACATGAGGTCCGGCAAGCAAAGTCGAAACGGCAAGCGTTCATTACTGGAGGAAGAGAATGGCAGTAGATATAGAGCAGAGAAAGGGCGTAAAAGCAGAGCAGGAGAAGCGCAAGAGAAGGGGAAGCAGGGAGGGATGACCTTGTAGCAGAGAGGCAATAGTGCCAGAGTGAGACTGCAAAGATTTCCATTTCTTCAACGTCCCTGGCCTGCCCCCTCTGCCCTCCCCCCCACTCCTGCCCCCACCACTAGCGCCATAACCACTCATCGCACCACCACTGGCACTGCTACCCCCGAGGGAAGCAGCAGGGGAGGGAGCGGCAGCGTCGGCGGGGGAGGGCGAGAGGAGGGAGGAGGAGAGGAGGTGCAGGTTGGAGACGCGCTGCTTGGCGGAGCCAAAGTCGGTGCTGCGCGTGCGGTACGGCAGCGAGCGCGGGGTGGTGGGGCGCGGTAGAGGGGAGTGGGCGGCGGGGGAGGGGAAGGGGAGAGGTGAGTGGGGGACGGGAGAGGGACTGGGGAGAGGGGAGTGGGGGACAGGAGGGGGGCGATCCAGCGGTGTCTGTGGTTCGTGGGAGGGCTGCTGCTGGCAGGAGTCGAGCGCTGGAGGGGAGGTTGAAGGTGCTGCTGGTGTTGGTGCTGCTGTTGTTGGTGGTGCTGGTGCTGTTGCTGCTGGTGCTTTTGGTGCCGCTGCTGGTGTTGCTGCTAATACTGCTGCTCCACGGGTGGGCGATGGTGGCGGTTCAAACGAATGTGCGGCGGCATCTGCTGTTGGTGCGAGAGGTGCAGTTGAAAGCTCAACGGCACTTGACGCAACGGCTGCTGCGTCACCCACAGCCTCACCACCCACCGAATCATCAGTGACATTAATTCTGTCAGTGGCGTTAGCTGTGTCAGTGATATTGGTCATGTTGGTAGCATTGACCACTGCAGCAGTGCCACGTGGGTCAATATGAGAGGCTGTATCAACAGCACTGGTCATGCCAATCGCATTACTAACAACAGTAGAGGTGTCAGTAGCAGCAACGCTGTCAGAAGAACCAGCGGTGCCAGCAGCAGGAATGGTGTCAGAAGCCCTAGAGTCAGCTGTATTAGTGCTTCTTACTGTGTCACTCTGCCTTGCTGCCACTGCAGGGTTAGCAGCAGCAGCAGCAGCAGCAGCTGCAGCAGTGGTCTTTTCAGCAAGCGGGCGTTGAATGGGGAACTGGGTGGGGGGCTGTGAGCGGGAGGGGGTGCGAGGGCGGGAAGGGGTGCGAGGGCGAGTGGGCGTGTGGGGGTTGGGGGAGCGAGGAGGAGGAATGGCGTGAGGAGAGCGAGGGGGGGGAACGGAGCGAGGAGAGCGGGAAAAGGAGCGCATGGAGTTGCTGCGAGAGAGGGACTCTGGTGGGGACGACAGAGGGGGCAGGGGAGGGCAGGGGGACGGATGGAGGGAGAAAGGGCACATGTGAGGGTTCAGGCACACGTGGGGAACGAGAGGAACAATGAAAGCATGAAAAGTAAGCTTGGGGAGAACACACGGGAGAGTAAAGCGTGAGAGTGAGCAGGTTCAATCAAGGGGTGAAGGACGGGACGAGTGGAGCAAGCGGGGGGGGGAGCGAGGGGGAGAGGCAGCAAGGGTGAGAGGGAGTAAGGGGGAAAGGGAGCAATGGGGGGAGGGCGCAAGGGGTGAAGGGAGCAAGGAAGGAAAGGAGAAAGGGGGGGAGGAAACAGGGAGGAGAAGGAGCACGGACCCGCCACAGAGAAGAACTCATCAGGGTCATTGAAATCCTCATCACCGTTGCTGCTGCCTCCATCGCAACACCCATCCCCATCCCCATCACCATCCCCATCTCGGTCCATGTCACTGCCAGCAGCCCGCACACCAGGTAGGTGCAATGCAGCACGCGCACCCGCTCTACTCCCATCCCTTGCTGCTGCTGCCGCAGCCGCTGCTGCTACTACCCCCTCGGCCGTTCCCGCAGGGTGAGCAGCAGAGGAGAGAGGGTCCAAGGCGGCCTGCAGGCAGCTCGCCACCCACTCGTCAACCTCCCTCGCCCGCGCAGGGCTCTTGCGCTCATCCATCTCCCCAGTCCCGCCCATCTCCCTCGCCACCACTCCCCCGCGTCCCATAGGCGAGCACGACCGCGCTCGGCTTAAGCCACTGCCCTCCGCCACGCCACTCACCCCCGCCCCACCCTCTCCTCTCCGTTGCCCCCCCTCCAATGCACCCTCCTGCTCCCTCTCCCGCAGCCTGCTTCCCTCACCTCCCTCATTTCCCTCATCCTCTCTCCCGTCCCTCCCCTCCTCCCTCCTCTCCTGTCCTCGCCCCTCCTCTCTGCATCCACCACCAGCCTCTGCCGCCTCTGCTGCCTCTGCCGTATCTGCGGCACCACCACATGCCTGCACCGATACTCGTTCGTCCACGTGCCTCCGATCCTTTCCCTCTGCACGCCCTGCCATGTCACCAGGGGGTCCCTGCAACTGTTGTGCCTGCTGCTCGTGCTGTGCCTGCTGGGCCTGCTTAGAAGATGCAAACGCAGAAGCTCCTTCAGCGTGGCCATTCAGGGAACTGGGTAAGGGTTTATTCTCATGCTGCTGCTGCTGCTGCTGCTGCTGCTGCTGCGGCTGAGGGTGGTTGTGCTGGATGAGCCGTATCCACGAGCCGTTGCTGTTCTCTGATGTCTCTGCCTCACTGCCTCCATCCTCATCCCCTGCTGTTGCTGCTGCTGCTGCTGCTACTCCAGACGCAGCATCAGCTGCTCCTGTCGCTGCTGCAACGGCTTCTCTCGCTCTCCCCCGATCTATCCCTTCACCACCCATGCTGTCAACCACAGTCATGCCGTTCGTGACTCTTCCGACTGCTGCTGCTGCCCCAGCTGATGCTGTTTCCGCAGCCACTGCTGCTTCCTCTTGTTCCGTGCGGCCATCGGAGTGACTGTGGCGGCGGAACGGGGAGAGGGAGTGCGAGCGGGAGTGGGTGTGGCTGTGCCTACGATCTGCATTGTGATGCGCATGTCTCTGTGAGTGGTGATGCGAGTGGTGCTGCGAGGGGTGGTGCTGGCCTTTCTTCCCGTCTTTAAACAACATCACCTTCCACGTGAAGCATCTCACTCCCATCACCGCCTCAGGACTCCCCATTTCCCCCTCTTCTTCCACTTCGTCCTCCTCCTCCCCAACTTCCTCCTCTCCATCACTCGCCCCTTCCGCCCTCCACCGTTCCGCCTGGACCTCCCCACTTCCCTCCTTGCCCTCCGGCGCTCGCCTTTTCCCACGCGCCGCGCTCTTGCCGCCTCGTCCTGCGCGCACATGCCCCGCGCCAACAGCAGGTGGTTTCGCAGGTGTTCTTTCAGGTGTTTCTGCGGACCTTGCTCGCGCGGCTTTGCGAGAAGGGCTCTCCGAATTTAACGGCGCGAGAGTCGCCGACAGAACCGGAATGGACGGCTTCTGCTGCGAGCTTTCGGTCCACGTTCCGTCAGCGCTATTGTGGATATTCGACAGTTTCCCGCCACTGGCATCTGACGTGGCGGGCATAATAACGGACGGTAAATTCGTAAAACGACCACGAGAAACAGTCACTCCGCTGAAAATAACGGCCAGACGTTTGGGAAGATTCAAGGAAAATGCTAACTTGCGATCTGCTGTAGCTGTAAAAGGATGACGCGAACCAGCGGAGGAACGTGATTAACGCTAGTAGTCAAGCCAAGACTAAAGTACATTGGTCCATCTCGTGTTCCTGATATGGACTGCGTTGAAGCTGAACAATAACTAACGAGGTACACTCTGTTCGACGAGGTTGGCAGCCATTGCTCGTTACAGGAAAAAGAAACTGGAACCACTTTCTTGAGAGTTTGGCAGGTATGATGCAGGTCGGCTCGAGCGCGTCCGGTGGGAGCGGGAATGCCGACAGCAGGGAAACTGTACTCTGTACAGCGTCAAGTGCTGTACTAGATAACTGCGAAATATTTAAGCATCAGGCTTTCCTGTATAATACCGTAAATGCTTCAGATGTGGCATCCAACCTCCACCACCTTGTAAACATTACAAACAGCCAATTAGACGAAAGAGGATCTTTTCCGGCAGAGGCTCATTCTATCCCCCAGCAACAAGCAGTTCGGCAAACCGCCTGAGGTTTCTGCCAGCTTGGAGCATTCTGCACAACTATGGAACTGAAAGCGTATCTAAAAACGATACAGTATTATAATAGAGCAGTAGACGCTCACTGTGTTCCTTTTCTAAGCTGGGCTGACAGAAAATGCACAAAAGCCTTCACCACGGCCTCCCCTACCTCCCCCCTCATGCCCCCATTCCCGTCTGGGCATGAGTAATGCGGATCAGTTAATGAGCATGTGGTCCTGTACTGAGGTGCAGTGACCTGCCACGTGTCAAAGAACGACAAACCCATGTGGCGAGCCAGGGGCTGGGCAATCCCATTGCCATACGCCAGCATGGCATTGGTTCGTCTAACCCAATTTCGATTTGCCACCCAAAATGAAGGCAGCCCAAAGAAAACAGCAGGCTTTTTCGGTCGAAGGAGGTGGAGGGAGGAGAGGAAATGGGGGAGGTAGTGGGGATAGGCCACAGCGCCATCAGAACAGAACTCGAAGGTCCAGTGCCCTGTGCCTACGACTGTGACATCTGCAGTTGGTGATGGTGCAGGATAGCTGCTTGTATGGTTGGAATATTTTCCCCTGCGACTGTGGAAATGTAGGGAGAGAGCGAGAAAGAAGGATGGGTTGACAAGGAGCTCAAAATCCTCTGAAATGTGCGAACAGAAGAAATTATTGCTTTTCACTGGCACACTTACGAGCATCCTGCCACATTGTTGTCATATATGCCATCCAGCCAGTTGTACTTCACACGAATAACGCCTTCCTTCACCAATTCGCCACCAGCTGAAACATCCCCTGCTGCAGCTGGTGCAGTGACGTTGAGGGTGTAAGAAATGTCACCATGCTTCACCAGGGTCATATTATGCGCTGTGCCAGTGTGCATGAACCAGAGGTGCATGATCAACCCTCTCATGTGTGAATCTCCAATCACATTCACCTCCCGTACTCCTGCCTTCCACAATCCCCAAAGCATGTCATTCAACGAAGCAGCACGAGCGCAGCTGAAGAATGTCCACCTGAATACAAGCAAGATCCGTTCAGGATAAGACGTTGTCCCTAAGGGTTTACCTTGTACTGAAGTATACGAGGCTTTGTAGATCCGTGTTTTCACTGACCTGTAGTTTTCTGTGGTACCAGTTGCTGTGTTAAGATGGGTCAAGCCATTTTGATTCGTGTCGTCACTGCCTGCAAGCCACCGACCAGCAATCCCATGTGCACATGGACTCGTGACCGCTGAGAGATCCATATCGGCTCCATCGAGTTGGGGTTGCTCAAGCCAATCACGTGGCTGGCTTCCGTGAAGCACCGAAACAGGTATCTGTGCAAAAACATGTTGTCCTAGACGGTTCCAGCCTTTGGTGTAGTTCAAATTAGAGCCATCAACACGAAATTCCATGCTGCATGTATCAAAACAAAACACCAAGTTAGAGTGGGATGCGCGAAGCCTACAGACCATGACCCTCTTAGACACGCAACGGAATCCATGGAATGAGAAAACCCTCCTATCGTTGGCATACCTGTAATTACCAGCGTCCCATGGAGTATAGGAGGCAAGAAACACCGACTGTCCTGGAAAATCAGCCGTCACTGTTGTCAGATGCACATGAATCAGGGAAGGCCCTTTAAGCGTGACCATCATATCCCACTGAAGGGAGGAAGATGCAGAAGCAGGGATCCAGTGTGCTGGTGATTGCACCGCGATGTAGAGAGAGCAAATTTGGCCAACATCGCATTGTTTGCACCCATCACCATAGATCATCACGCCACCAGGACTAATGGAATTATTTCCATGAGATTCAAGACTTTCTTGATCAGAGTTTTCAGTTTCGTTCAATGAGATCCTCGGGCCGTCATGGATGGAGGAGCTCCAACACAACCCCGCAGGCAAGTACTCAGCAGATTCGGGGTTGCTTGACTCCGTTGATATAATTGCTGAATACCTGAGAGTATGAAGGGTAAGGATGAGAAAAACATGAAGCTACGGCGTATCAAAGTACAAGATTACCTGCTGTTTGTCTGATCGAGAACTGATGTGTTTGCTAAGGTCAGTGGCGCGGACTTCCTCGGCTCTTGGTTACTTTCTCCCGCGACAGTGCTCCGGGACAGTAGAAATCCCGACAATGCGAGGAGTAAAAAGGAGACAGCACAAATGCCTCGCCAAACCACAGATGTCCAATTGCATTTTGTGGCGGATGGGTTCTCCTGATCGAACCATTGACATAGCTTTTTCCTGGCCGGCGGGCTGGGACCTGTCTCATGCTCGTCATCCGAGTCAACGACACACGAGTAATTGGCAGCGGAAGGAGGAGCCATTGTATCGAAATAATCGATGCTAAGATGCTGCAGCCGAAACACGGAATAGCAGTAACAAGCTACGCTGCGGCGGTGGGGTCAGACAAGCGGTGGGGTCATCGGCAAATTCATCGCGGCTAACCAGCAGCGAGCTGGACACGACATTCCCAAGACAGAGAAACCAGCCAGGGGTTTCCTGGCAGGTCGCGACTTCAGCGACGTTCTTACGTTCCCAAGAATCCGTGATGTTCCCTGTGAGCGGTTGTGACAAATCCACCACCTATACGTAGCCTGTAACGTCGTCAGATGAGACGGTATTGATCACGACGACAGACAGTCCACCATCTCAAGTACTGAATTCAGCCGAATTTCGAATTGATTTAGGCGGTATAGAGCACCACAACACCCACTACTAGGCAAACCTTCCTCATATTTCATAACAAAATACGAAACATTTTTCCATATTTACGGCAAACATATTGAAAATTACACCCATAATACCTCCTGACTTGATAAGGTACATGTGAAGCCTCTAAAGGTACTCCATTGCACTAAGCAGCTCCCCGTGCTCTTCGAAGTATGTAACCATCCTTCGTAGAAATGGATTATTGTTAACTGTGTCGCAGTTACACACAATGCAGCACTGTCGGCGGGCTCTTGTAACAGCGACATTCATTCTCCGCTCATCCGCCAAGAAGCCAACCTACTCACACGGAAGCAAGAGTAGAAAAGGGCAAAGGTGGGAGGAATTGCTTTTAGGAGGCATGCTCATTTGCATAAGCTAATGCCAAAGGAGTGGCGTATAAAAGGATGCACTGAACTGCCAAAACACGAATCCCTCGATCTCGTACCTCTCCAGTGTCATTGGAGCGGACCATGGAAATGATAATGGCCTCCTTCTCCCTCCCCTGAAACCCATCAACCGTACTGATCTCCACGCGAGCCAGCTGCCGAGAATCCTCTCTGAACGACTTGAGTAAGCCCACCTGGGATGGTCAGAGCAGGAGAGAGTGATACGGAGGGTCGAATAGATAACGGCATTTGGAACTGTTGCGCGGAAGAAAATACACACTGCAATCGTGCGATAACCATGCAGCGGGATTCACAAAAAAATGCAAGCATTTGTTGTAGCCACGTATGATGTGACAATTTCTAGGCATAACTCACCTGTGCACTGTACGGTGTGACAATCCCTATGTCCCCTGCATCCACACCAGCTTCCAGCAACCGCCTCACATGCGCCACCACTACCCTCGCCTCCCCCTCATTCCGCAAACTCTCCCCCTCCTCCTCCCTTTGCTCCTCCACATCATCACACCCCGTCGAATCCACAAGCACCAGCCGAGCCTCCGTGACAGGCCCGGGAACCACCCCCGGCAGGTCCGGAAGCCCGTGCCTGGCCACCGAGGCATGCGCGGACAGCAGCGACTGGTACAGCTCGTCAGACGCCCAGCACATGATGTCCTGGTGCATGCGGTACTGAATGGTGAGCATGGATGTGATGCGGTCCCCGTACAGGCGGTGCAGGCGCTCGAAGAGAGTGACCCCGAGGCCGCGCTTCTGAGCCTCGTCGCACTGCACGGTGGGCGGCAGCTGCAGGTGGTCGCCTGACAGGATGCAGCGCGGGGCTTTCAGCACCGCTGCCCAGCACGACACCTCCAAAGCTTGTGCTGCCTCGTCTATCACCACCAAATCAAATGTTAGAGGCTGGAGGAATGGGGGAAGGTGGGATAGAGTTCAGGGAAGGGGAGAAGAAAGGATGAAGCGGGAGCTGCACGGTGGGCGGCAGCTGTAGGTGGTCGCCTGACAGGATGCAGCGCGGGGCTTTAAGCACCACTGCCCAGCACGACACCTCCAGCGCCTGTGCTGCCTCGTCTATCACCACCAGGTCGAATGTCAGGGGCTGGGGGGATGGGCGGACGGCAGGAGGGGAGGGACGAGATGGCAAGGAGAAAGGAGGAGATAGAGTGTCAGTTGCAGCACGACACCTCCAGGGTCTGTGCTGCCTCGTCTATCACCACCAGATCGAATGTCAGGGCGCGCCTTGGTCCGGGCGCGCGCGCCTTGGTCCGGGGGCGCGCGCCTTGGTCCGGGGGCGCGCGCCTTGGTCCGGGCGCGCCACCTTTGTCCGGGCGCGCGCGCCTTGGTCCGGGCGCGCGCGCCTTGGTCCGGGCGCGCGCGCCTTGGTCCGGGCGCGCGCGCCTTGGTCCGGGCGCGCGCGCCTTGGTCCGGGCACGCGCGCCTTGGTCCGGGCGCGCGCGCCTTGGTCCGGGCGCGCGCCTTGGTCCGGGGGCGCGCGCCTTGGTGCGGGGGCGCGCGCCTTGGTCCGGGCGCGCGCGCCTTGGTCAGGGGGCGCGCGCCTTGGTCCGGGGGCGCGCCCCTTGGTCCGGGCGCGCGCGCCTTGGTCCGGGCGCGCGCGCCTTGGTCCGGGCGCGCGCGCCTTGGTCCGGGCGCGCGCGCCTTGGTCCTGGCGCGCGCGCCTTGGTCCGGGCGCGCGCGCCTTGGTCCGGGCGCGCGCGCCTTGGTCCAGGGGCGCGCGCCTTGGTCCGGGGGCGCGCGCCTTGGTCCGGGCGCGCGCGCCTTGGTCCGGGCGCGCGCGCCTTGGTCCGGGCGCGCGCGCCTTGGTCCGGGCGCGCGCGCCTTGGTCCGGGGGCGCGCGCCTTGGTCCTGGGGCGCGCGCCTTGGTCCGGGCGCGCGCGCCTTGGTCCGGGCGCGCGCGCCTTGGTCCAAGCACGCGCCTTGGTCCGGGCGCGCGCGCGCCTTGGTCCGGGCGCGCGCGCCTTGGTCCGGGGACGCGCGCCTTTGTCCGGGCGCGCGCGCCTTGGTCCGGGCGCGCGCGCCTTGGTCCGGGCGCGCGCGCCTTGGTCCGGGGGCGCGCGCGCGCCTTGGTCCGGGGGCGCGCGCGCTTTGGTCCGGGGGCGCGCGCCTTGGTCCGGGGGCGCGCGCCTTGGTCCGGGGGCGCGCGCCTTGGTCCGAGCGCGCGCGCCTTGGTCAGGGCGCGCGCGCCTTGGTCCGGGCGCACGCGCCTTGGTCCGGGCGCGCGCGCCTTGGTCCGGGGGCGCGCGCCTTGGTCCGGGCGCGCGCGCCTTGGTCCGGGGGCGCGCGCCTTGGTCCGGGCGCGCGCGCCTTGGTCCGGGCGCGCGCGCCTTGGTCCGGGCGCGCGCGCCTTGGTCCGGGCGCGCGCGCCTTGGTCCGGGCGCGCGCGCCTTGGTCCGGGCACGCGCGCCTTGGTCCGGGCGCGCGCGCCTTGGTCCGGGCGCGCGCGCCTTGGTCCGGGCGCGCGCGCCTTGGTCCGGGGGCGCGCGCCTTGGTCCGGGCGCGCGCGCCTTGGTCCGGGCGCGCGCGCCTTTGTCGGGGCGCGCGCGCCTTGGTCCGGGCGCACGCGCCTTGGTCCGGGCGCGCGCGCCTTGGTCCGGGCGCGCGCCCCTTGGTCCTGGCCCGCGCGCCTTGGTCCGGGCGCGCGCGCCTTGGTCCAGGGGCGCGCGCCTTGGGCCGAGGGCGCGCGCCTTGGTCCGGGGGCGCGCGCCTTGGTCCGGGGGCGCGCGCCTTGGTCCGGGCGCGCGCGCCTTGGTCCGGGCGCGCGCGCCTTGGTCCGGGCGCGCGCGCCTTGGTCCGGGGGCGCGCGCCTTGGTCCGGGGGCGCGCGCCTTGGTCCGGGGGCGCGCGCCTTGGTCCTGGGGCGCGCGCCTTGGTCCGGGCGCACGCGCCTTGGTCCGGGCGCGGGCGCCTTGGTCCGGGCGCGGGCGCCTTGGTCCAAGCACGCGCCTTGGTCCGGGCGCGCGCGCGCCTTGGTCCGGGCGCGCGCGCCTTGGTCCGGGGACGCGCGCCTTTGTCCGGGCGCGCGCGCCTTGGTCCGGGCGCGCGCGCCTTGGTCCGGGCGCGCGCGCCTTGGTCCGGGCGCGCGCGCCTTGGTCCGGGGGCGCGCGCGCGCCTTGGTCCGGGCGCGCGCGCCTTGGTCCAGGGGCGCGCGCCTTGGTCCGGGGGCGCGCGCCTTGGTCCGGGCGCGCGCGCCTTGGTCCGGGCGCGCGCGCCTTGGTCCGGGCGCGCGCGCCTTGGTCCGGGCGCGCGCGCCTTGGTCCGGGCGCGCGCGCCTTGGTCCGGGGGCGCGCGCCTTGGTCCTGGGGCGCGCGCCTTGGTCCGGGCGCGCGCGCCTTGGTCCGGGCGCGCGCGCCTTGGTCCAAGCACGCGCCTTGGTCCGGGCGCGCGCGCGCCTTGGTCCGGGCGCGCGCGCCTTGGTCCGGGGACGCGCGCCTTTGTCCGGGCGCGCGCGCCTTGGTCCGGGCGCGCGCGCCTTGGTCCGGGCGCGCGCGCCTTGGTCCGGGGGCGCGCGCGCGCCTTGGTCCGGGGGCGCGCGCGCTTTGGTCCGGGGGCGCGCGCCTTGGTCCGGGGGCGCGCGCCTTGGTCCGGGGGCGCGCGCCTTGGTCCGAGCGCGCGCGCCTTGGTCAGGGCGCGCGCGCCTTGGTCCGGGCGCACGCGCCTTGGTCCGGGCGCGCGCGCCTTGGTCCGGGGGCGCGCGCCTTGGTCCGGGCGCGCGCGCCTTGGTCCGGGGGCGCGCGCCTTGGTCCGGGCGCGCGCGCCTTGGTCCGGGCGCGCGCGCCTTGGTCCGGGCGCGCGCGCCTTGGTCCGGGCGCGCGCGCCTTGGTCCGGGCGCGCGCGCCTTGGTCCGGGCACGCGCGCCTTGGTCCGGGCGCGCGCGCCTTGGTCCGGGCCTGCGGCGCGCGCCTTGGTCCGGGCGCGCGCGCCTTGGTCCGGGCGCGCGCGCCTTGGTCCGGGCGCGCGCGCCTTGGTCCGGGCGCGCGCGCCTTGGTCCGGACGCGCGCGCCTTGGTCCGGGCGCGCGCGCCTTGGTCCGGGGGCGCGCGCCTTGGTCCGGGCGCGCGCGCCTTGGTCCGGGCGCGCGCGCCTTGGTCCGGGCGCGCGCGCCTTGGTCCGGGGGCGCGCGCCTTGGTCCGGGCGCGCGCGCCTTGGTCCGGGCGCGCGCGCCTTGGTCCGGGCGCGCGCGCCTTGGTCCGGGCGCGCGCGCATTGGTCCGGGGGGGCGCGCCTTGGTCCGGGGCGCGCGCCTTGGTCCGGGCGCGCGCGCCTTGGTCCGGGGGCGCGCGCCTTGGTCCGGGCGCGCGCGCCTTGGTCCGGGCGCGCGCGCCTTTGTCTGGGCGCGCGCGCCTTGGTCCGGGCGCACGCGCCTTGGTCCGGGCGCGCGCGCCTTGGTCCGGGCGCGCGCCCCTTGGTCCTGGCCCGCGCGCCTTGGTCCGGGCGCGCGCGCCTTGGTCCAGGGGCGCGCGCCTTGGGCCGAGGGCGCGCGCCTTGGTCCGGGGGCGCGCGCCTTGGTCCGGGCGCGCGCGCCTTGGTCCGGGCGCGCGCGCCTTGGTCCGGGCGCGCGCGCCTTGGTCCGGGCGCGCGCGCCTTGGTCCGGGCGCGCGCGCCTTGGTCCGGGGGCGCGCGCCTTGGTCCGGGGGCGCGCGCCTTGGTCCTGGGGCGCGCGCCTTGGTCCGGGCGCACGCGCCTTGGTCCGGGCGCGGGCGCCTTGGTCCGGGCGCGGGCGCCTTGGTCCAAGCACGCGCCTTGGTCCGGGCGCGCGCGCGCCTTGGTCCGGGCGCGCGCGCCTTGGTCCGGGGACGCGCGCCTTTGTCCGGGCGCGCGCGCCTTGGTCCGGGCGCGCGCGCCTTGGTCCGGGGGCGCGGACGCGCCTTGGTCCGAGGGCGCGCGCGCGCCTTGGTCCGGGCGCGCGCGCCTTGGTCCGGGCGCGCGCGCCTTGGTCCGGGGGCGCGCGCCTTGGTCCGGGGGCGCGCGCCTTGGTCCGGGGGCGCGCGCCTTGGTCCGGGCGCGCGCGCCTTGGTCAGGGCGCGCGCGCCTTGGTCCGGGCGCGCGCGCATTGGTCCGGGGGGGCGCGCCTTGGTCCGGGGGCGCGCGCCTTGGTCCGGGCGCGCGCGCCTTGGTCCGGGGGCGCGCGCCTTGGTCCGGGCGCGCGCGCCTTGGTCCGGGCGCGCGCGCCTTTGTCGGGGCGCGCGCGCCTTGGTCCGGGCGCACGCGCCTTGGTCCGGGCGCGCGCGCCTTGGTCCGGGCGCGCGCGCCTTGGTCCGGGCGCGCGCCCCTTGGTCCTGGCCCGCGCGCCTTGGTCCGGGGGCGCACGCCTTGGTCCAAGCACGCGCCTTGGTCCGGGGGCGCGCGCCTTGGTCCGGGCGCGCGCGCCTTGGTCCAAGCACGCGCCTTGGTCCGGGCGCGCGCGCGCCTTGGTCTGGGCGCGCGCGCCTTGGTCCGGGCGCGCGCGCCTTGGTCCGGGCGCGCGCGCCTTGGTCCGGGCGCGCGCGCCTTGGTCCGGGCGCGCGCGCCTTGGTCCGGGCGCGCGCGCCTTGGTCCGGGCGCGCGCGCCTTGGTCCGGGCGCGCGCGCCTTGGTCCGGGCGCGCGGGCCTTGGTCCGGGCGCGCGCGCCTTGGTCCGGGCGCGCGCGCCTTGGTCCGGGGGCGCGCGCCTTGGTCCGGGGGCGCGCGCCTTGGTCCGGGGGCGCGCGCCTTGGTCCGGGCGCGCGCGCCTTTGTCCGGGCGCGCGCGCCTTGGTCCGGGCGCGCGCGCCTTGGTCCGGGCGCGGGCGCCTTGGTCCGGGCGCGCGCGCCTTGGTCCGGGCGCGCGCGCCTTGGTCCGGGCGCGCGCGCCTTGGTCCGGGCGCGCGCGCCTTGGTCCAAGCACGCGCCTTGGTCCGGGCGCGCGCGCGCCTTGGTCCGGGCGCGCGCGCCTTGGTCCGGGGACGCGCGCCTTTGTCCGGGCGCGCGCGCCTTGGTCCGGGCGCGCGCGCCTTGGTCCGGGGGCGCGCGCCTTGGTCCGGGCGCGCGCGCCTTGGTCCGGGCGCGCGCGCCTTGGTCCGGGCGCGCGCGCCTTGGTCCGGGCGCGCGCGCCTTGGTCCGGGCGCGCGCGCCTTGGTCCGGGCGCGCGCGCCTTGGTCCGGGGGCGCGCGCCTTGGTCCGAGCGCGCGCCTTGGTCCGGGCGCGGGCGCGCCTTGGTCCGGGCGCGCGCGCGCCTTGGTCCGGGCGCGCGCGCCTTGGTCCGGGGGCGCGCGCCTTGATCCGGGCGCGCGCGCCTTGGTCCGGGCGCGCGCGCCTTGGTCCGGGCGCGCGCGCCTTGGTCCGGGGGCGCGCGCCTTGTTCCGGGGGCGCGCGCCTTGGTCCGGGGGCGCGCGCCTTGGTCCGGGGGCGCGCGCCTTGGTCCGGGGGCGCGCCCCTTGGTCCGGGGGCGCGCGCCTTGGTCCGGGCGCGCGCGCCTTGGTCCGGGCGCGCGCCTTGGTCCGGGCGCGCGCGCCTTGGTCCGGGCGCGCGCGCCTTGGTCCGGGCGCGCGCGCCTTGGTCCGAGCGCGCGCCTTGGTCCGGGCGTGCGCGCGCCTTGGTCCGGGCGCGCGCGTGCCTTTGTCCGGGCGCGCGCGCCTTGGTCCGGGGGCGCGCGCCTTGGTCCGGGCGCGCGCGCCTTGGTCCGGGCGCGCGCGCCTTGGTCCGGGGGCGCGCGCCTTGGTCCGGGCGCGCGCGCCTTGGTCCGGGCGCGCGCGCCTTGGTCCGGGCGCGCGCGCCTTGGTCCGGGCGCGCGCGCCTTGGTCCGGGCGCGCGCGCCTTGGTCCGGGCGCGCGCGCCTTGGTCCGGGGGCGCGCGCCTTGGTCCGAGCGCGCGCCTTGGTCCGGGCGCGGGCGCGCCTTGGTCCGGGCGCGCGCGCGCCTTGGTCCGGGCGCGCGCGCCTTGGTCCGGGGGCGCGCGCCTTGATCCGGGCGCGCGCGCCTTGGTCCGGGCGCGCGCGCCTTGGTCCGGGCGCGCGCGCCTTGGTCCGGGCGCGCGCGCCTTGGTCCGGGGGCGCGCGCCTTGGTCCGGGCGCGCGCGCCTTGGTCCGGGGATGTTGGGTTGGCAAGGGGAAGGGAGGGGAAAGTTTGCAACGAGAAAAGAGAAGAAGATTTGAGTGTTAGTTGCAGCATGACACCTCCAAGGCCTGTGCTGCCTCGTATCACCACCAGTTCGAATGTCAGGGGCTGGGGGGACGGGGATGGCAGGGGGAGGGAAGAGGAATGGGAAGGGAAGGGAGGGAAGGGAGGGAAAGGGAGGGGAGGGGAGGGGAGGGGAGGGCAAGGATGACAAGGAGAAAACAGCTGATGGAGATGCAAGGTCGGTTTATAAGGAGACCTCCACGGTTCATGTTGTTTCGTATGCGCTGGTTCGGAGGAGAAGAGGCAGATTGCAGGTGAGATTTCTACTGCCCTGTGCTGCCGCTGCCTCCCCTCCGTCCTTAGGAGCAGCAGCACCTCACCTAGAGGTGTCGGGAAAGGCAGCCTGTGAGAGTAGGCAGCACAACATTGGAGTCTTTATGCACATCCTCCACGGCCCTGCTGCTGCCGCTGCAGTCTCTCCTCCATCTACAGCCGCAACAGCACAGCAACTCACCTCGAGATGCCGTGACAAACAGCCAGTGAGTGTGGTCAGCACAACATTGGAGTCCTTGAGCACATCCTCCACAGCCCCCTGCTGCCGCTGCCAATGGTGCTGCTGCTGCCACCTCTCCTCCATCCCCAGCCGCAACAGCACAGCAACTCACCTCAAGGTGCCGTGACAAGCAGCCTGTGAGAGTGGTGAGCACAACATTGGAGTCCTTTAGCACATCCTGCACGGCCCGCTGCTGCCGCTGCCGCTCCTCCTTGCCCAGGCGCCGCAGGTCCCTCTGAATCTCGCCCCTCTCCCGCCTTATCCTCGTTTTAAGCAGCTTCCCTGACAGCTGCTGCATCTCCTTGCGCACGTCCTTGGCCAGCGCACTGTTGTCCGACTGCTGCACCTGGTGTGACCGAGCAGGGCGGGCAGGGGGGTGGCGAGTAAGGAAAGGGACAAAGGGAGATAGCAAAGGGAGGTTAAACGAGAAGAGGTGCTGCATCTCCTTGCGCACGTCCTTGGCTAGGGCGCTGTTGTCCGACTGCTGCACCTGGTGGTGGGGGGCGAGCAGGAGGGGGCGAGAGAGGAAAGGGAGAGTGAGAGAGGACGAACGAAGAGGGCGGTCGCAAGAGAATCCAGGGAGAGGAAGGGAACGGAACATAAGAGATTTGTTAGTCAACAGGGAATTGGAGAGAGAAGAGATCAGATCGCGGAAAGAAAGGGGTGAGAAGATGGCACATACACATGTCAGGATGTTCGCATGCATGTGGTGGCGTACATGTGCCATGCATGCATGTGGTGCCATACATGTGCCATGCATGCATGTGGTGCCATACATGTGCCATGCATGCATGTGGTGCCATACATGTGCCATGCATGCATGTGGTGCCATACATGTGCCATGCATGCATGTGGTGCCATACCAAGGCATCGAGGGAGGAGTTGAGGATGGATGGCAGCAGTCGTGCGGGATGCCCCACTCTCACTGCCCGCACCTGCACATGTGGCAGTAGAGGGGTGGGGGGTTGGAGGGCAGGGCAGGGGGGAAACGGTGAGGGGAGCAGCATGAGTGGGACAGGGAACGTACAGGAACAATATGTATTGTAAGAAGGCAGGCAGTTTGGAGAGAGCAGTCCAGAGGACTTTGAAATGGGTGCAGTGTGAAAATAGAGGGGTTGGGTTGGGCCAACAAGACTATCATGCAAGATGCTGCTGTTATTGAGGATGTGCTGCTTGCACACCTACTTGTGGGACATGCAGAATGAGGAAACCAAGAGTGAGGACGGCAAGAGGAGGTGGTACCTGCTTGTGCGGCACGAGTCTCTCGACAAGGTTGTCCACAGCGATGTTGGACGCCGCACACACCAGCACCTTACTGCGGTTGAGGCGCCCATAAAAACAGCCTCATTACACCGGATTAATGAAAGTACCTGCTTGTGTGGCACGAGTCTCTCGACAAGGTTGTCCACAGCGATGTTGGACGCCGCACACACCAGCACCTTGCTGCGGTTGAGGCGCCCATAAAAACAGCCTCATTACACCGGATTAATGAAATTACTTGCTTGTGTGGCACGAGTCTCTCGACAAGGTTGTCCACAGCGATGTTGGACGCCGCACACACCAGCACCTTGCTGCGGTTGAGGCGCCCATAAAAACAGCCTCATTACACCGGATTAATGAAAGTACCTGCTTGTGTGGCACGAGTCGTTCAACAAGATTGTCAACAGCGATGTTGGACGCCGCACACACCAGCACCTTGCTGCCCCGCTTCACCTCCTGCACCACCACCTGCAGGGCGGAGGGGGCGTGGAAGGGAGATGGGGAGAATGGACGAGGAGATGGGGGGAGGGACCAGGACGGGCAAGACGCACACACCAGCACCTTGCTGCCTCGCTTCACCTCCTGCACCACCACCTGCAGGACGGAGAGGTGGGGGGGAGAGAGGGGAAAAATGATCAAGATTCAATGATGGTGGTGGCCACAGCGATGGAGGGAAAAAAACGGAACAGATTCACACACCACCACCCTTTGGCGCTCTTCACCTCCTGCACCACCACAACCCTTTCTCTCGTCTCAGAACCCTCACCTCCACCTCGCCTTGCCCCTGCCTGGCAGGCCAAACAGGCTTTTGGACAGGGGTGCACGCGAGGGGTGCACGCGAGGGGTGCACGCGAGGGGTGCACGCGAGGGGTGCACGCGAGGGGTGCACGCGAGGGGTGCACGCGAGGGGTGCACGCGAGGGGAGCACGCGAGGGGTGCACGCGAGGGGTGCACGCGAGGGGAGCACGCGAGGCGTGCACGCGAGGGGTGCACGCGAGGGGTGCACGCGAGGGGTGCACGCGAGGCGTGCACGCGAGGGGTGCACGCGAGGCGCGCACGCGAGGCGCGCACGCGAGGAGCGCACGCGAGGGGCGCACGCGAGGGGCGCATGCAAGTGGTGCACGCGAGGGGTGCACGCGAGGGGTGCACGCGAGGCGTGCACGCGAGGGGTGCACGCGAGGCGCGCACGCGAGGCGCGCACGCGAGGCGCGCACGCGAGGCGCGCACGCGAGGCGCGCACGCGAGGGGCGCACGCGAGGGGCGCATGCGAGTGGTGCACGCGAGGGGTGCACGCGAGGCGTGCACGCGAGGGGTGCACGCGAGGGGTGCACGCGAGGGGTGCACGCGAGGGGTGCATGCGAGGTTTGCATGTTGTGGCCTGTGCCACGTGGTGGGCGGACAGGTTCTTGGCCACGGCGGCCTTCTGTGATTCATGTTGTAAGGAGTCACACCCGCCCCACACATTCATATCCACCACCAGAGCCCTCACCTCCACCACAGTGGTTGTTTTGCCCGTGCCCGGTGGCCCGTGGATGAGAGCCACGTGGTGCGCAGACAGGCTCTTGGCAACAGCTGCCTTCTGTGACTCGTCCAGCGAGCGATTGAAAGGCGTGAAGGGCGGCGGGGCCTTGGCCAGGCGAGGCTCTGACTGACCGAAGAGCACCTGATGGGAGGAGAAGGGTGAGAAAGAGAAGATTGGGGAGAAGGGGGCGATGGAGGGGGTAGGAGAGAGGATGTGGAGAGGGATGAGAGGAGAGGAGAGGAGGGACAAACGGGCACCACCTGACATGCACACAACCCCTCCCTACTCCTCCGTGCCCCTGGCATGCCCCTCCGTGCCCACATCCTCTCCCCTGCTGAGCGCCCCCAGAGTATCGCACATGCGCTTGTACGTGACATCAGTGGCCAGCTTCGCAATACGCCCGTCACATCGTTCTCATGTGCTTACCGGGATAAGCGCCGCCCCTGGCCTCCCAACCGTGCTCACACCCACATCTCCCGTCCGACTCAGCGCCCCCAGAGTATCGCGCATGCGCTTGTACGTGACATCGTTGGCCAGCTTCTCTATCCTCACAGGGGCGTCCAGGCCCTCCCCATCGGGCACGTCATCCACGGCCACCACCACCGCATCCTCCCTCACTCGGTACACCACCCCCTGGGTCCACATCACATCCCCCACGCTGCTGAGCACCCACACCCCCCAGATTGATATCATTCACATCTGCTTACCGGGATGAGCGCCGCCCCGGGCCTCCCAACCGTGCTCACGCCCACATCTCCCGTCCGACTCAGCGCCCCTAACGTATCCCGCATGCGCTTGTACGTGACATCGTTGGCCAGCTTCTCTATCCTCACAGGGGCGTCCAGGCCCTCCCCATCGGGCACGTCATCCACGGCCACCACCACCGCATCCTCCCTCACTCGGTACACCACCCCCTGGGTCCACATCACATCCCCCACGCTGCTGAGCACCCACACCCCCCAGATTGATATCATTCACATCTGCTTACCGGGATGAGCGCCGCCCCGGGCCTCCCAACCGTGCTCACGCCCACATCTCCCGTCCGACTCAGCGCCCCTAACGTATCCCGCATGCGCTTGTACGTGACATCGTTGGCCAGCTTCTCTATCCTCACAGGGGCGTCCAGGCCCTCCCCATCGGGCACGTCATCCACGGCCACCACCACCGCATCCTCCCTCACTCGGTACACCACGCCCTGCGCTATCGCTGCCTGCGCGCCCTCCGCCTTGTTCGCCCGTATCGCCACCACGTCGTGCGGCGTGAACTTGTGCGGCGGCAGCACCGGCCCAGACGCTCGCGAGCCCGAACCTGCTCCCGAACCTGCAGGTCCGGCGTCTGCTGTGGCGCCTTTGCTGGAGGCTTTTCCGGCCTTGTTGGAGACGAGGGTGAGGAGAGTCTTGCCCATGAGGCCTGATGTGGCCTCCGTGCACCGCAGGTGGCACAGCACTCGCCCCTTGGCCTGCGCTGACGCCAGTGAGCGCGTGGACGCTGCCTCTTCTGCTAATGCCACTTCCGCGTCCTGTGGGTGAGGGCCGACGGGCGGGTGGGGAATGTGAAGGGTGAGGAAGAAAGGGGAGGAGGGAGTGAGAGCACTGCAGGTGGTACAGCAAGCGCCCCTTGGCTTGAGCTGATGCCAGTGGACGCGTGGATGCTGCCTCTTCTGCCAACGCCACCTCTGCATCCTGTGGGTGTGCAGGGCGGAGATGGAGGGGTGGAGGGGGAAAGAGGAGGAGGAGGAGGAGAAGGAGGAGGAGGAGGAGGAGGAGGAGGAGGAGGAGGAGGAGGAGGAGGAGGAGGAGGAGGAGGAGGAGAAGGAGGAGGAGGAGGAGGAGGAGGAGGTGCAGGAGGAGTAAGCGTGTGGACAAGTGTGTTCAAAACGCTGAAAGGGAGCGAAAGAAGGACCCAAAGCTGAGCAGATAGGTGGGTGAGCACATCGTAACATGAGCTGACCTGGGCCAGTGGAGGGCACGATCAAGGGACTCGCAGGTGGCTCACCTTCTCAAGGTCCAGCAGTGGCCTCATCCTCTTGACAAACTCGTACACATCGCTGCAGTCACTCACGTCTGCCGCCACACCCCCACGCGCCCTTCCCACCCCCGCCGCCCCATACCCCATGCCTGCTCCTCCCTTCCCCCTTCCTGCTCCTGCTCCCCCTTTTCCGCCTCCTCTTCCCCCCATCCCCTTCCCCTCAGTGCCGCTTCCCCCCCTGTCGTCCCCACCAAGCGCGTCAGCAGGCACATCCCACCCCAAGTGCTGCTTCAAAGCATCTCCCAGCTGGCGCGCTCCTATTGGCTGCTGCTGCTGCTGCTCCTGTTGCCGCCCATCATCCGCTCCTACATGCAGCGTCCTGCCTTCCCCCTCAGACTCCCCACCTTCCCGCCACAGCACTAGCTGCCGATGCGAGCCGCCCGGCATGTCCCGGCTCTCGTGTTCCCACCCATGAGTCTCCGCAAGCTCTACTTGGATGGGAACGGATGTGAGTGAATGAGTGGGCAGCATCTGAGAGAGTGAGCTAGCAGAAAGAAGGTGAATTGAGCAGCAACTCAACATCTCAGTGAGAGTAGCAATGAGCGCAAGCAAGAAGGTGAGTAGAGCGATCTTGCATGGAGCGCCACGGATCCCTCACATTGCCACCAGCATCCTTCCCAGCACCACCCCTCCCAGCACCACCCCTCTCAGCACCACCCCTCACCGGTTATCAGATCCCTCACCATGCAATGCGGCGCGTTGCTTGGGCGTGAGGGAGGGCGGAAAGACCACACGTGTCACTGGCGGCTGGGGACATGTGGCAACAGGGAAAGGGGGGAGAAGGGGAGGGGATGCAGGGGGGAAATGAAGGACAGAGAGGCAGGATACGAATACATAAAGGAAGGAAGGAAAACACGGAGATGAAGGGAAGTAGAGGCGACATGTCGTGAACCCTATCTTGAAGCATATATGTCTATGATGCATGCATCTATCCGTAGCAATCACTCCAGTGTCACAGTTCTGTCGGAAGCCCTGAACCCTCCAATCACTGTTATATTAAGAACCCGCCTGTCAACTTCCTCCGTAGTAACAATACAGCCTCTCTCCTTGGCACTAGTACGTGCTTACTCCAGCCGTCGCTCCTGCTTCGACGGATGACGCAGTGCCATTTTCTCCACGACCTGCGCTTCCCCCGTCACCCACGGCAGCTGCTACCTCCGCGGGTGCACCGGCGGAAGCAGCGGAAGAATCTGCGGGTTTTGCGGAAGTGTCCGCGGGAACAGCGGAAGCCTTTTGCGCGGTGCGGTTGAGCTGCGCTGCCTTTTTGGCCGCCGCCTTGCGCTTGGCCGCGTCCGACACCATGCCGGGGAAAAGAAGGCGGAAGGAAGGCGGAAGAAAGGCGGAAGCAGGCGCGGAGACGCAAATGGGACGTCGCTGCTCCGAGACACCTCTTTCGCTACGACTTATATCCGTGCACTGAAACTTGCGTGCTGCTGTCTGATCCTGCCAAACCGAGGCCTCGCTACCGGTTAGTACTGATTAGCTACATGCAGCATTCTGGCATTCCGTGCGAAATCCAAGGCTTAGCCTGCCTATTGCTCCGCTGGTGCTGATAAGAGAAGCTGGGAACAGAGGGAGTGAATAATAAGAGCTATCCCAGTGGACCAGAACTGCTTCATAGAACCAATAGCTGCTCCAGTCAGCTCGAAGTGCTTCAGTGCTTCAGCTACAAGTTGTGGTGTGTCAAACATTTTTGGAGGTGTGTGCGTGAAATCAGTTTTTACCGCGTACGATTTCTGAAGGTCCTCAATGTCTCAACTCCACTGAATTGCCAGGCTGTGGATTTCTCGAGGAATTCTGTTTCGCTTCCACTCGGCTACCATTGCTCAACACGGCATGGCTCCACGCAAGCACGCACTCACACGCGAGCAAATACCGGGATCTGCAGCTGAGTGCGGAAAGCATCGTCATGGCGCCTCGACACTTTGCGGCATTTCCTGGCAGATTCGCGCTGAACCCTTCTGCAAATAGATCAGATGACAGCAGCCGCCGTACCGTTGCGCTTGTACACAGGAGAACGCGGCTGCTCGTCGCTCTGCCGTTTTCGGAAAAGCAGGCCTCGTGATTTGCGAATGGTTGTTTTACGAACGGATTAGGCAGGCAGGCGTAAGTGATGGTAGCAGGCCTCGCTGATTCGCTGTCGCCATGAGCACGTACCAAGAACCCGTCGGTACACCACCGAGCCAAGGTTAGCAGTAGTAGCGTGTCTGTTCTTCCAGTTTACATTGATGCGCCGAAAGGACGAATCAGGCTTAGTTTTTTTTTTTGCATCTTGCGTCCATGAGCTGACTAGCATCTTATGTCTGTCAGGTTACTACGGCCAGCCACCACCTCCTCCCCCAAGCTATGGACCACAGTCAGGAGGGTACTCTTCTTATCCCCCTCAAGCCTATCCCCCTCAAGGCTACCCCCCGCAAGGCTATACAGCTCAGGGCTACCCTCCTCCTCCTCCTGGTGCTGTGATTGTCACTGAACGAAGAGGGAATGCTTGCGACGACTTCTGTGCTGGCCTGTGAGTCTCAGAGCTATGGTTCTTTCTTTGCATTTGGGGTGAAAAATTGCACGATTTGGTACTCACACTAACGTGTTTCTTGATGTCTATGCCATTTCAGCCTCGCATGTCTTTGCTGCTGCTGCATGATGGACGCCTTTACTTGAGCCTCTGAAAAGTAAAGAAATATGTCAAATGATTTGGGACATACCAATTTAGGTGGTGTAAGAAATCGTTCAACCTCCTGCGTGTTTGATAGATCTTTACTGCAAGAATACATTGTTGTTGTGCGTGATTTGAATGAAAACAAATGTTCTTTCTTGGAGAACTTTTGCATCCTTAGCAGAAGGTTGGTTTGAATTGTTTACTGCCACCCCACCTAGAGGTACGGTACTGGTATTCTTTCAATAATGAATAACGGTACTAGGTAGTACAATCATAGATTGCTTATCTACCAACGGTTTATAAACACAGAAAATACTACCGGTAAAAGCCTTACACAATCATCTACAGAGTAACGGGCCAAGACACCACTGGACCTGGCACAATGACTTGTTCATCAAAACTCTGACAGCTCTGACAAGCATTGGGTGATGGTGGTAACCCATATTGCCTTGGAGGCAGTCTCCCTTTGCCAGGCAGTGCCACCTCATGGTACCACTGTCAGAATCTAGAGACAGGAATGAATGAACTATGAAAGAGTTGGGTACAAGTATGAAACCCTAAAAGGGGCTGTACCCCATGTTGGCTACCCCACTACAGCCTACACATATATAACATGCATATACTTTGACACACCCCCATAGGCAAAGTGGGGGAGAGCAATGGGTCACAAGACCAGTCAAGAGAAGCAAAGCAAGCTCAGGGTGGATCACAATGTCACCACACACACTGAGCACAAACAAAGGGCCACAAGGCCAGTTCACATGCAGAGGTACATATGCAACAACAACAGCACAGTGATCTCTACCTAGCAGAACAAGCATGCAGGTATATATATAGATCACAGTACAAGCAAAGTCTACAGCAAGTGAGGAAACGTGGGCACAAGGCCTAACAGAGTGCAGAAACGCTGATGATCACCAGACGGAAGTGCCTTGATGAATATATCAGCAGTGTTGGCCCGAGTGGCCACGTGAGCAAGACGAAGCTGACCACGCTGCTGCAACTCTCGAGCCAGGAAGTAACGCAGAGCGATGTGCTTCGTTCTGTGCTCCAGTCTGTGCTCCTGACACAAGGCAATGGCGGCCTTGTTGTCGACGTACAGCACTGGAGGAGAACGAGGCCGCTTTCCCAAGTCGGTCAGCAGGTAGGTGAGCCAGCGTAACTCCTGTGCAGCCATGGCTGTGGCGTAGATCTCAGCCTCACAACTGGAGCTGAGAACTGAAGACGAGCGTGTAGAACGCCAAGAAACCGAACCAGAGCCAAGGCTGAAGGTGTAACCCTGTGACGACCGCTGCGTAGCCTGGTCGTCAACCCAAGAAGCGTCTGAGTGCCCAGTGAGGACAACGTCGCTCCGTCCTCCAAGCACGAGCCCCATGCCCGATGTACTGCACAAGTAGCGTAGTACCCTCTTAGCAGCATCCATGTGCACCTTTCGGTGCCGACCAGGAGCCACGTAGCGAGCCAGAAGGCCAAGAGGGTACGCAAGGTCAGGACGAGTGCAGGTCATCAGGTACATGAGGCAGCCCACTAGCTCTGGGTAAGGACCACTCGGCTCTACGGACCCGTCCGAAGGTGGAGCTGAGAGCGAGTGACCTGTAGCCAGAGGAGTGGCCTGTGCCGAGGACCAGGTGAAGCCGAAGCGCTGAAGGACCTGCTGCACCATGTGTGACTGAGTCAGTGTGATGGTGCGGCGTGCTCTGTCCCGGGTGATCCGCAAGCCAAGATAGCTTGTCAGCTCACCCAGGTCTGTGCACGTGTGTCTCTTCTGCAGCTCCGACTTCACCAGGGCGAGAGCCTCAGTGTCAGCAATGGCAAAGACCAAGTCGTCGACGTACACGAGGATGTAGAACGGCGGCAGCGAAGTGTCGGTGCGCAGAAACAGCGACGGGTCAGCAGTCGACGGAGCAAACCCAAGAGCCGCAAGTGTCGTCCTCAGTGTGTCGTGCCACTCACGTGGCGCCTGGCGGAGACCGTAGACCGGCCGCCTGAGGCTCCACTGGGTACCAGGAGGGAACGACCCAGTGAAGCCAGGTGGGCGGCGCAGCCAGATCTCCTCGTGCAGGCTGCCCTGTAAGAAGGTTGTGCTGAAGTCAAGAGAGTGAAGCTCGTAGTCACGCTGAGCGGCAACGTGCAGCAGCACCCGAAGAGTGGTCATCTTCGGGGTGGGGGAGAAGGTCTGGAAGAAGTCTACTCCCTCTCGCTGACTGAAACCTCGTGCAACGTAACGCGCCTTGAAGGCAGGCGGAGAACCCGGCGGCCGCTTCACCCTGAAAATCCACATGCCACTGACGATGTTCGCCCCAGGTGGGGGAACCTCGTCGACGTAGGTGCCTGTGGACTTCCAGGATGCCATCTCTGCGTCCATGGCTGTCTGCCACTGAGAGGAGTACTCACCCGCGATCGCCTCAGCGTAAGAGCGCGGGGTCGGGATGTCTGGAGCATCCGGGTCTCCCTCAGGGGCAAGCAGCATGGACACGAGATGAGGCGCAGCGGCTACAAGACACTCAAGGTCCTCCTGCCTGTCCTCAAGAACGTCCGTGCCAAGAGCACACTCACCCCCGACGGACGGAGGACAGACAGACTCAGACTCAGCAACAAGACTAGCGGCGTAGTCTAGACGACAGGCAGCAGCAAAGTCCACAAGCTCAGCAACTAGGGCAGACGTAGCAGCAGACTCAAACGACGGGTCAGTGACAACAGTGGCTAGCAGACGCGTGACGGTAGGGTGCTCAGCACGAAACCGGTCAGACTCGGGGTCCGCAACTACAGGCAGAGAAGACGCAGGAGGGGACGGCAGAGGAACACGCTGCGGAGGAGAGGAAGGACGACGGACTACGAGGTGGGTGTCGGGGACAGCCGGCAGACGCGGACGAGGAACACGACGACCGGAACGACCAGAACAGACAGGCGAGACAGGACGCGACGCAGGCTCACGACGCTCAGTAAGACCCCCTAGCTGCCCAGTGTAAGGAGAAGGAGCAGGCAGCGGTGAGCCAGGCTGTAACGGAAGACCAGTAGACGAAGGGAGACTAAGAACCTGACGAAGCACAGAGTCAGGCGGTGGCTGAGACGACGGAGACGGTGGAGCGAAGAACAGGCGCGGCTGTGCAGTGACACCAGCACCAGCAGCTCCAGTACCCCCAGCAGCTCCAGCACCTCCAGCAGTCCCAGAACCCTCAGCGCCAGCTCCTCCAGGACCAGCTCCACCAACAGCAGCACCCCCAGAACCGGCACCTCCAGTCCCAGGGTCTCCAGCCTCAGTGCCTCCAGCAGCAGCACCCTCAGGCTCAGCACCTCCAGCAGCTCCAGAACCCTCAGCGCCAGCTCCTCCAGGACCAGCTCCACCAACAGCAGCACCCCCAGAACCGGCACCTCCAGTCCTAGGGTCTCCAGCCTCAGTGCCTCCAGCAGCAGCACCCTCAGGCTCAGCACCTCCAGCCCCAGCAGCTCCAGTACCTCCAGTACGAGCACCTCCGGGACCAGCACCACTCCCAGCTCCAGTGACGGCAGCAGAAGTACCTCCAGCGGCAGAGCCCCGAGCTCCAGAAGCGCGACCCTGACGGCGACCGTACCAGTCGTGCAGCTGCTGCGAGGTGAGAGGCACACGCGGACGAAGGCGACTACTCCAAGGAAACCGCACAACAGC